ACCCACCTGAAATCATCAAATCATCAGGATCATTTTAGCATAATTCATAGTTTCTCTCTCACCTATACCTAGGTTCTCTCTCTCTCTCTCTCTCTCTCTCTCTCTCTCTCTCTCTCTCTCTTCCTCTCTCTCTCTCTCTCCCCTTCCCTCCCTCCCTCCTCTTTCTCATGCCCAGCTTCCATACCCAGCTTCTCCCTCTCTCTCTCATACCCATCTTTTCTCTCTGATACTCAGCTTCTCCCCCTTTCTCTCATACCCAGCTTCTCTCTCTCGCTCTCCCTTTCTCTCTCTCTCTCTCTCTCCTATACCCAGCTATCATTTCACATAATAACACTACATCCATACCCTTTACCTGCCCCCACCCCTGCATCACATGAAAACCTTTTAGGACTCTCCCAAAGATTTAGAAAAAAGCTTCACACACCCTCAAAAGGGGTAGTTTCTTTTTTCCAGAGCTAGAGATCACTAGCCTAGAAAAAGAGGGAGGCATAGAGGTCCCTCATGTACAGATTCTAAAGAACTGTTAAAAAAAGAAATTTATAAACTCATTACCTTGATAATGAAGTTGTTTTCTTCTTTTTGCTGAAAACGTGCCACCGAGAAGGGAGATACGCCCCTTTAGATGGATCTGGGCAGTGCCGAGTTCTTGGGCACCCACAGCTGGCTGCCACCCCCACCAGCAGTTGGACAAGACTGATGGGCCAAGGCTTTTTTCTGCTGCTTATGACCTTGAGGTATGACATCATACTTTGTTAGGTCACAATGCCTGAAACTATAGCAACCGTAGTAAAGGGATAGCAGGCTGGCAAACTTAATACCCCTTCAAATCAAAACTACCTCAGGCTGTCTGCTGTATGCCAATCTTTTTCTATTCTTTCTAGAAGGGTACATATAATTCTTTCACATTTTGTCCAGTTCACAACACCTTGAAACCTCCTTTCTCTTTCCTCTTCTTGCTAGACTTCCAGAACAACCTAATCCTATCAGTTACCAGTTTGGTCTGTATTTTTCACATACAGAATTACCACCAGCCTGTATGAACAAAACAGTATTCATTTTCACATCTTAACTTATTTTTCTATGCTAGTGTTTGTTTAAGTCTCATTACGTAGGAGTGGGTGAAATTCTTTGTGCTGAAAGTTGAAATTTTTATAGGCCAAGATTGAGTCCTAGTTGAGAAGCGGTTTCAGAGGAGCTTGACAATATCAAATCATCATGTTGTAGATCTTAAATACATATAATGTTTATTAAAACATTAATTTTGGTTGAGGATGGAGTCTTTGTCAATGGTGATGAGCTAAAATCCACAATATAGGACTTGTTTTTCTTTTATCATCCCTTTTGGCAAGGGAAACTTTTGATATTTAAGTTGGAGCTCCTGTGTCTGGCTCATGTCTATGGAATAATAAGTAAAGAAAGAAAATGTTTATTTATTCTCTATGTACAAGAATATATATTCCTAAGATTAAAAACGAACAAACAAACAAATAAGCAAACAAACAAAAAACACCTCTCTATGTCTCTCAGCCTAGAAGGAAAAAACTGTGGTCTGGGCCTGGAAAATGTCATACCAAATCCTCTAAATGACATAGAGAGAACTATTATGGATGATTAGAGCCCTGACCCATGGCACCCCAATACTGTCATCCTGGAGGCTAACCAGGAGCAAATAAGAGCAGCATTTGGGTGGGAAACCAATAATGAAAATGTAAGGAGGCTCAGTCATAGGTTACAGTATATTCACTGCCTCTTCTTTTCTCTTAAGCTGTTGAGGCTCTCAGAGTGTCCTGTACTGATGTTCAAAGTGTCAGAAGAAGGAATATGCTACATTAGTATGTCAATATATGCCAAGTAGTGTACACTTAGGTTAGCCTTTAAGAGCCAAATATAGAGATGTTAAACAGAAGCTTTGTCATTTTTCCCTAACCATTATCATCCATTTTCTAACCTTATTTATTCTCAAACATCTTCTCTTTCATACCAACTTGTGAGTAATCATACAAATTACATTTTAAATATGCTTTCAGCTTGCATTTGGTTTGAAAGAGCTATTAAGGTAATAAAAATGGAACCTGTGTTTCTAATTATTATGAATAATGGCAAAATGAAATTTAAGTGAACTGAGCTATCAGCCTTCATGAAATTACTGTCTGCCTGTTAGTTCCACTAAGTACCTTTCAGCCTCAGATTTAGCCTACCTAATTTAGTTTATGTGATGACACTATTTGGAAAATGGGAAGTGATGTCAATGATTATCAGACATTATTTATTATAGACCAGTACAAATGGGAACTCCACCTCTTTTTCTCCTGAATTGTTTCCAAGCCATGAGAAGGCCCAATGTCCTTTAGAGCAGCTCCCCACAACCATAGTAAATTGAAAAATTAGATAGCCATTATTTTTAAATTTTATTAAATTTATTGGGTGATATTGGTTATTAAATTACATGCTTTGAGTGTACAATTCTACAGCACATCATCTATATATTATATTGTACCACTCAAAGTCAAGTCTCCTTCAATCACCATTTATCCCCCCTTTACCCTCTTCTACCCCCATACTCCCTTTCCCTCTTGTAATCACCATACTGTTTTCTGTGTCTATGAGTTTTTGTTTGTCTTTGTTCATTTGTTGCTTTCAGTATTATATCCTACATATGAGTGAAATCATATGGTTTTTGACTTTTTCCATCTGACTTCTTTTGCTTAGCATGACATTCTCAGGATCCAACCATGTTGTCACAGATGGCAGTATTTTGTCTTTTCCTATGGCTGATTAGTATTCCATTGTATATATGTACCACATTTTCTTTATTAAATCATCTATTAGATAGCTATTCTGAGCATCTCATCAATGGTACTGCATAATTACTTCCATCAAGTATTTATGTCATGTCTGCATACCCATCTGTCCTTTCCTATAAGTGATTGAAACAGTGGAGGGAGAAAATAAAGCACTTTTAAAAAACTATAAATGTTCTAATTATTTTTATTTAAGAGGCAGCTGTTAAAGGAAAGCAAACTCTTAGATATGTTGGGGTTTCCTTTCAGGCAGGGAGTTAATTAGGCAGCTAAGGTCTGTTCTATTGCCTTGTTGTGGAAATTACTTACAGCTATTTGGTGTATGTGTGTGTGTATTGGGGGGGGGGGGGGGCTCATCCCTAATTGTGAAATTTCCCTCCTCTGATTTCCTAGAACATTTGCTTATTGTCCGTATAATTCATTTGACATTTACTAGATCTGGCCTTGTAGATTTAATTAACTTTTCCTATTCCTGGATCACCTACACTGAAGCCTCAGGGCAGGTTCTCTGTCTCTTTCTCATTGTATCTACTATGATACTGGCCATACAGTTGAGGTCAAGAAACAAATGATGGTTTTGAAAGTTCAGGCAGGAGTAATGAAATTCGAAATAATGACAAATATCTTGGTTAGCTATTTGAGTTGGCAGCCTTCCTCATTGAGCAACAATTTTTACACATTAGGCGTGACTCGGGGTCACTTGGAGTGCTTAATAAAACATAGTTGGGCCTCATCCCAGAGTGTCTAATTCTACAGGTCTGAAAATTTGCCTGGTGTTGTGTTTTACATGCATACTCTCATTTAATTCTCAGACAGACTTATGATATGGGTACTATTTTAATCCAGACTTTATTAATGGCTCGCTGGAGACCTGAGCCGGCTTTGATTGATGGTGCAGCCAGTTCCGGCACTAGCCACTTCCCTCATCCTGGAGGGGGTGTTATGTGTGTGTTCAGAGATTAGCATGAGTTTTCTTTATTCTAGGGTTATAAGATGTAGAAGAGAAATTTCTTGAGGGGAAAAAAAAAGTGTAAAGGGTACCTTGTATAATCTTTTGGCCCCATCTAGCGGTTTCAAGTCTGACTAAAAAGGGTCAATCCGTTATTATCCCCCTTCTGGCGAGAATGGTACAGTCGGCGCACCTCCTAAGTGCGCATGCTTGCTGGAGGCTGTTAATGTGAGGCGGTTGGCAGCCGGTTTGAAGCAGTTGGTCAGAGGCGGTTGGTCAGAGGCGGTTGGTCAGAGGCGGTTGGTCAGAGGCGGTTGGTCTGAGGCGGTTGGTCAGAGGCGGTTGGTCCGAGGTGGTAATTCTGAGGCGGTAATTCCGAGGCGGTAATTCTCTAAGGCGATAATTCTAAAGCCGTTAGTTCCCTCTCCCTTTGCCCCTCGTCTGTTGGTTTTGTTTCCAACAGGCGGGAAGTTCGTTTCCCATGCGTAGTTTTGGTTCCAATCCCATTTATAGCTTGTTAAAGGTTCTTTTGCCGTACACATATAAATATATTTTATGTCAGCGCTGGAGATATGGCTTAGGAAAATAAGCTGTTAATCGGAATATTTTTTCCTGTCAGATGAACTTGCTTGAACATCTGACAGAAAAGTACTTAAATATAGTATTAATTGGTGATAGTTTTTCTCCTTCTCTCCAGACAGTTTTTTTATTTGTGAATAAATGTTTTAAACAAAGACTACGGAGGAGAGAAAGGGGATCTGGAAGCATGAACCTCTTCAGGTCCCCTTATAGCACTTATAGGCATCCCCCCCCTCTACACACACACTTAAGGATCCCCCTAGTTTTAGGAACATTAAAATGGATGAAGACTGGCCTAGTCTTCAGCGTTGTCAGGTAGTTGCCCTGCGTGGGGATGTCAGTCAGGCTTAGTTAGCCCTTCTGTGCCTGTTGCTCTCAAAGTTAGATGGTAAATGGGGGTAATGAGTTCATGTGGCCACTAGGAGGTCGCAGCTGCTTGGAAAACGTTTCCATACGGTACAAGATCACCCCATACAAAAATCCATTTTGCCAAGCATTCCTCAAAAGGGAATTTGGTGATTCCCCTCGCCCCCCATATAATCACCCTCCATCCTAAAAATTGCATTTTTAAGTCTGTAATATTTATTGACTTAATACTTAGTATTATATTTATAATGCAGATAATATACATATAATATTAATGTAATATTTTCTTAATTGTCCCATCATAAAGGTGTGTTAGGTTCAAAGGAAGAAGTATTTGTCTAACTCTCTGTATAGACCCTAACAAGTGGCGTATGTACCTAATACACTCACTAATCACTATTGGTGATGCTGGGGTGAGTATGACAACAGTGACTGGGTTGGAAATAATGGCGTGCTAAACAACATGTGTCCTCTGAAATCTTTAGCAGTTGTATTTTCACCTTGTTTTGGCAATTATTGCGCTGAATTAATGTTAGCTACTACTATTAATAGCTCTCTGCACTTTGGGGACTTACCCATAAAATAGGGGCAATAATTTCTACCCTGCTTCCCATCACAAGGCCACTTGTGAAGCCAGCAGGAGTTAATGTTTGATTCTACAAAGAGTTCTTAACTGGTCTGAACCTAAGTTGTACAGTTGCTCTCCCCTTCCTCCAGCAGGGTTATTTAAATAAAATGCCTCTTTAAAGAGACCCAGTACTTCACTTGTCAAACCAGCCTATTCCAACCAATTGTATGGGAAACCAAGCCCCAATGTAGTCAATTTGACAAGGAGTTCAATCAATTACTCTCCCAGTCCACCCCTCCTTGCTGGGCCAAGCCTATGTCACAACTCTGCACGCAGATTGGTCCTTGTTGGCAAATCACCACTACAGTTTCTCTAGGACTGTAATTTTAAAAATTCACTGCTAGCAGATGGATTGGAGGGAACTCAGGCCAGGCTGAGACCCACACCCGGTCGCTACGACTTGGTGCTCCATTCATTTATCGGGGCTGCTCCTGGTCTAGAAGTGTGTCTATGGTCTTTCCTGTTATGCCCCCAATTTCAATGTGAGGTAGGAGCCTTTGGTTTTGTACTGCCCGCATGAATGTCCGGTATTGGCCATGGAGTGCCCCTTGTTACACGCTGTCTTCTCTTGCCAGTCAGCCGTTGTGAAGTGAGCCCCATATGAGGTTGGGCAGGGAGTGTGTATTAGAGGGTGAAATGATAAAGTAAATGAGACTAGGTCCCATCATTTAGATGGAGCGTCCAGTACACATGCCTGAATCAGAGTACATATACAAAATGTCTTTTTACAAGTGAAAGTATGAAGGATCAATTTCAGCAACAAGACAACGCATTTAAGTCAGAGAATGCTATTTGAGGGATGTGTTTTGAACTACAGGTTAATGGAAACGTGTCCTTTCCCCCTTGTTAAACTTCTCACATCTCCATTCTTCTATCTCTGCTTCTAACCCTTCAACTCTGGCTTGCCCATTGCTCTCTGCTATGTGATTAGAGTCCTAGAAGGCCAGATGTCGAAGGTGCCTTAGAACCATGCTTCTTAAACTTTAAAGTGCATACAAATCACCTGGGGATATTGTTAACTTGCCTGTGCCTATTTGGTAAGGCCTAGCTTGGGGCCTAAGATTTTAAATGGCTAAAAGCTCCCACGTGTGGCAAATGATGCTGGTCCATTTACCACTGTATGAATAACATGGAGGCTTTGGTCCCATTGCCTCATTTTATTAGCTGGAGAAATGAAGTCTACAGAGGGAAGAGGGACTTGCCTAGTGTCACCTAGCCAGCTACCTACAGTGTTAGAACTAGATCCTAAGATACTTCCCTACCCAGTGCTGCTTTCATTGACAGACACCATACCCCTTACTCTCCCCAATGTCTTGCTGTCTGTAACCTGCCTTTATATATAAAACAAAGTTGCTACTGTTTCCTGTAGACCAGTGGTTCTCAACCTTCCTAATGCCGCAACCCTTTAATACAGTTCCTCATATTGTGGTGACCCCCAACCATAAAATTATTTTCGTTGCTACTTCATAACTGTAATTTTGCTACTGTTATGAATCATAATGTAATTATATATGTGTTTTCCGATGGTCTTAGGCGACTCCTGTGAAAGGGTTGTTCAACCCCCAAAGGGGTCGCGACCCACAGGTTGAGAACCACTGCTGTAGACTGTCTTGATCTACAGTTCTGGAGTCTGAACAATTGGGCTTTTTTTTTTTTTTTTTTTTAGTTAAGGTATTACAAATGTGTCCTCATCACCCCCATTAACCCCCAACCTCCCCCCCCCACAAATTCATGCTCCCATCCCCCTGTTGTCCATGTCCATTGGTATGGCTTATATACATGTATACAAGTCCTTCGGTTGAGCCAATTTGCCCTCGTGTGGGTTTCAGCACTGCTCTGGGATTCTCAATGAGGTCTTCAACATGTAGGGGACATGGAGAGTCTGGACACTGGAAAGGATTCTAAGTTTCTTGTCCAAGTAAGGCTCAGCATTTTGTAGGTGGTAGGAGTCTAGAGTGTTTTTGCAGAGTGTCCTTTTATGAAAGCATGTTTTTAGTGGTGCCATTCCCCTCTCCCAGTAGCAGGAAAACTAGCTACTTAAGTCAGTGTGTGTGTCTCCCAAAGCAAGTGATTATTGTTCAGGATAGTGAAGGTGGTGCATGACCATCGTATGAATAACCTTGTTTTCTCTGAGGTTTAATTAAATCTATGACACTCTCAGCTGAAAAATTTTTAGCCTTTTTTTTTTTTACTTCAATCTGATATTTTTTCTTTTCCTTTGAAAGGTGAATGTTTCAGAACATGAGTTTTTAGTCATCCATAAAAAAATTGTATGAGGTGTGAATAATAATAGTGGTGTAAGTGGTTTTCATAGAGTGCAGTTAGGGGTAGGTGCACCCAATTTAGCTTTATTGTTGCTTGGCCGAGTTTTGAGGATGAGATGGAAAATAGTTTTCAATTTGGAGGAAGAGAAGAGTAATACCCACCATTTATTCTGAGTGCCTGCCATGCTTAGGCTTTCATGTAAAAATTTACATTTGGCCCTAACCAGTTTGGCTCAGTGGATAGAGCATCGGCCTTCGGACTGAAGGGTCCCAAGTTTGAATCCGGTCAAGGGCATGTACCTTGGTTGCAGGCACATCCCCAGTAGGGAGTGTGAAGGAGGCAGCTGATTGATGTTTCTCTCTCATCGATGTTTCTAACTATCTCTCTCCCTTCCTCTCTGTAAAAATCAATAAAATATATTTTAAAAAAAGTTTACATTGGCACCACAGAATACCTCTGCAAGTGTATCTTTTTGCAAAAGAGGAAGTTGAGGCTCAAAGATGCTGGTTAAGAAGTCCAATTGCTTCTTTTAAAAAAATCCTTTGCTAATTCTACCTCCTCTCTCTACTATACTAGGGCCTTTCGTTTTGGACCATGGACTGTTCTGAAATGTCTTTTTTTTTCTGTGATCAGAGAGATTTTATGTTTTTTTAGAAAGAGCCCTGGAAAGAGCTGGGTGATGTATACGGTTTAATAGTTTGTCCTGTATAGTAAGTCATGTAACTCATTTGGAACTATAAAATGGAAACAGTTTTGTTGTGAGAATCAACTGATGTAGTAACTGTGAAGGCACATACTTTTACTGACTTTTCTTCATCAACAAAATGTGTAATACTTCTCCATCCAAAGCAAAACCCAAATCCTTTCTCCTTTCTTAAATCTTCCCCTCAAGCTGCAGACTACTGTTACCAGCCTACCCCCAGCCTAGCTTTCAACCCCTTTATAACTCCTCCCCAGCACATTCTTTTTACTTTGAACTCAGACAACCTGGATATACCTGGAACCTTCTGTTCTCTGCATGTTCAAGTCTCTGCCTGGGCTCAGGCTTTCTTTGGAAAACTGGAAAGCCCTCCAGTTTACTTGGGAATGTCCAGATCATATATAACCTCTTCTATATTTCCATTATGTTTCTCTAGTACTTTGTATCTACCTTTAAAAATAATTTGTCACTTTTTTGCATAAGAAAGATGTACTTTTTAAAGGAATGAAGAAGTATGTTGGCAAAACATCTACTCTCCCAGGTCCTGGGTAAAGAGGGACCTGTAAATTCTGAAGCTATATTAAAAATTATTTCCTTCTCAATGGCAGTATATACAGCAGCAAACCTTCCAAACCTGTTGTCACAGCCCTCTATAATCCTGAATCTACTTTACAGGTGGGCAAACTTAGACTTAGAAGCAGAAGGTGACCCGGAGCAAGGGGACACTGGAGCTGGCTCAAGGTAAGGGCAAACAGGAGGTGTCTCCACTCAGCCAAAGGCAGGGCCTCTGCCTATATGGAAGGGAAAGGTAAAAGCTAGGGTGACCAAAACTCCCTTTTTCTTTCAGCCTAGGGAAGCAGTGTCAGGAAAGAAAGGCAGGTTCCTACTCTTAGTGGCAAAGGCCAGGGCAGGCCAGAGTTCCTCCTGAGGCCTCTTCAGTGATGCTCTCTGTGTTTGGGTATTGTGGATTCACTGCTTCCATAACTCTCTTGTTACCTGCATCTGAGCCTAGACCTCAAATCTTTAATTATTTCAAAAAGGCGGGGTGGGGAGATGGTTTAAGACAGTGGTTCTCAACTTTGGCTGCACATTAGAATCACCTGGGAATCTTTTTAAAATCCTGATTTCTGGGCCTCATTCCAGAAATCAGGATTTTAAAAAGATTCCCAGGTGATTCTAATGTGCACCTAAGGTTGAGAACCACTGGTTTAAGAGAATATGAGACACAGAACAATCTTTCCACAGCCTCCCTTTAAGTAGGCTGGGTCTTTTAAAGATCCCCTTCACCCTGTCTCCTAGGGATATTTAAAGGCAGCTTTTATGAGATTCTATACTGTCTTTTGTGTTTCTTGTTTTGAAAATTATATATTCTTTTACATATTCTTTAAAAAAAAATAGTTTTTTGGTTCCTAAACTCTGAGGAATGATATGATTTTGAACTAAGTAAATCTGGGCTTCCCTTGCCAGGAAGCCCTTAGCAACCCCAAGGCCCTCTGCTGGTTCCCTTCCACAGTCCATCTTCAGCCAGCCCCAGCTGCCTTGCCAACCTGAGCTTTATGCCACAAGCATAGAACAACCCACTTGATGAAGACAATCCTTAAAGTGATCTGAGCCCCAGACACTGGCCTTGGGTCCAGTCCACCTCCATCCCCAGCTGCTGCTTCAGGAAGGGCTGCTTAAGCGCTTCTGATCTTTTCCTCTCCTTTCTTCTAACTCTTCTTAATCTTTCTGTGGGTGGTCACTGAGAGCAGATCAGTAAGGCTTGTTGACATCCTTGGGCCTCTTTAGCTGTACCTTGAGCCTCTTCATGGCAATTTGAAAGTCATTCATGGCCTGAATAGCTATCTGGGCACTGGTTGGATTGTCAAAGCTAACAAACCCAAAACACTTGCTCTGGTTGGGGCTTGATCCACAAAGACTTTGACAGAGACTACAACTCCAAAGTACAGGGAAGTCTATATGAGTTCTGCATCACCAAACTCCTGAGGCAGGTGATAGATGAAGAGGTTATAGTCTTCGGGCCTTCTTTTTGCTGCTGGGGCAGGGCTGAAGGCTGCTGGGGAAAAGCTATGTTCACTGGGGCATAGGCTGATGGGTAGGCTGCTGCTGCATAGTGGTGCATCCTAGCTTAGGCCTGTGCAGGGGGTCAACCACACCAGGGCTCTGTACTAGGTAAGGGGCGAGCTGGTTATTTTAGAGAGTGTGAGGGCTGGCTGCCCATTGGTCTGAGGGGTCAGGGGGCCGAATCCTCTGACTGATGGGTGCCAGGAGACCTGAAAGTATGCCCTGGCAGCTGCAGGGAGGGGAGTTGGCTGCAGGTGGTGGAGGAGGTGGCAGAGTCAGGCCACATCTTCCTCCCAGCCTCTCTCTGCCACGGCCCTGCCCTGCTTTCCCATTTGTCACATTTTTATGTTACTGTTAGAGCTATGTTTGTGAATACTTCTAGGATAAGATCCGTGATTTGTGTTTGTATCTTTATTGCCTGAAATATCTGGTACATAGTGGGACGTTTGTTGTAGTCCCTTTAGGGTCTTTCTTAGGGAAGCCTGTTGTTTGTCAAATGCAGTTGAACTTGGAGATTGAATGTGAGTAGGGTTGAAAGGTCAGTTGTATCTGAGTGGGAAGGGTTTCTTGTGTATCCAAAAAATAATTCCTCCTAATAATGTATTTGCTTGTAAGACACATAAGTGTATCTAACTATTGAGACTCAGAAACTACAAGAACCTTAAGAAATATAGAATGGCCTGGGGGAAGAAGGGGGATGGTAGCAGGCTGGAAGAGGTTCTATGGGAAAAGGAGGGCCTATGTAATACTTTCAACAATAAATATTTTTAAAAAAGAAATTAGAATGGGGTTTTCTACTGAGATGAGGTGAAGGTAGGATTCTTCTAAGGGTTGTAATAACTGTTAAATTGTTATGTCAAATGATTTTCCAATACATTACTTTCTTTTGCTATTATCTCATTTTTTTATTTTTAAATGTTCCTATCAGGTGTCTAGAACTGTATTACAATTTCTTCTGCTTGATTGCAACCTTTGAGTACTCTCTGGCCTATTGTGCATATGTGTGTGTGCAGTGCATTCTTGTGTCTTCTTTGTAACATATTATAATTTCCATGGCCAGGATCCCATGCCCTTTAAAGAACATTATTCTTACCAGCTAGCCTCCATACTATATGACCTGTCACATTTTTTATTGTCTTCAGTGTAAATCACATAACTTGTTCCCAATGTTCCTAGACTTAAACTTGGGGCTAGGCCATAATTTCAGTGCCCACAGATGATGGCAGGCATTACGCTGGGCTTTTTACATAGAGTATCTAATTTAATTTGAACAGTGTCCTGCAGAGGTAGGTATACTTATCCCCATTTTATAGATGGATATCTGGATCCCAGGGAGTTTCAGTCACTTACCCAAGGTTAACTGTGGTAGAAACAAGATCTGCCTAACTCAAAGTCTGTTTCCTCCTGGGGATGCTATAGAGAGACTGGGTTTTCTCAAAAGTCTCCAGATAATTCTGTGATGTTTCTGGTGAATAGTATTTTAAAGAGACCCTTTATGATTGCAGCTCTGCCTTGGATAGACACTGCTGAATCTGTAAGAGATGCCACCACCACCGGGAAGCGACAAAAATGAGTCTAAGAAATCTCAGTCCAACAAGATTGTGCCCCGTGATCATGGCCAATCTGAAAAGGTTAGAGCAAGCTGTTTCTCCTAATAGTGTCTCAAGTAGCCCCTTCCTGTGTTGGCTTGGTCCCTATCCTCACCCCTAAGTCTTTCAGATTATGTGTGGTTTTATTTGAGAAGGAGGGCAAGGAGTAAGAGCCCCTGTAGTTGCAGAAGATCAGCAAATTAGAATTTGGGGAGAAAATATGAACTTTTCTTTCCCATAAATGCATGGCTGAAATGAAGGCTACCCTCCTCAATCTTCCAAAGCAAAGAACATTCACCTCTCGTTAATGATCATATCCATACTCCTACTTTGCCTAAGTTGCTCAAAGCACCTTTCCAGGAGGTTGCTTGGTAAATCCTGGGGAGACTATGAAGATTAGGTCAACAAATGTATTATCATGATTTTTATAGCTATTTAATTAGAAGAATGGGTTCATTTTGATTCTGCTGTTTTGACCTTGGGGGTAGTTTGACATAGTCATTCCGGTCCTGAGCTGTTCTGTGTTCATTTATCATCATACATATTTTAATAAGAATTTTACTAACACTAATGAATTGTCATTAAGAGAGTATTTCCTAGAATAAATATCATTAGGCCAATTTCTTTCCTTGATTACTTTCCTTTCAGTACAGTTATACATTTTCTAATCATTTTCATTTTAATAAAATGATTTTCATGTAGGGGAGAAATATTTTTTCCTGTATAAATTGGCAAGAACTATTTGCTACATTTATCAGATTTTTGTCTATATCGGATTTTCTTGTTTAGATTTTGCCATTGTAAGTTTTCTTTTGTGGTAGTTATTTTTCCAAATGCAACTTTCTTGGGCACATTTTTTAAATCTAAATTTTTATTGAGTTTAGTTTTACCTGTGAATTTTATTTGGGGCTGATTATTTCTACCAGTAATATTAAGTAGGAATTAGAAAACAGATTAACAGTTGATTTCTTAGCTAATGTGAAAAAATAATATTTTTTTGCTAATTATTTCCACTAGGATTATTTATTGTGAGCTAGATTAAAAAACTAATGGTTTACTTATTTCTTAGCTTAATCAATTAGAAAACAGAAGTAATTCTTCTCAGCTCTTTCAGGATTACTCTACTGTATTAGATTGGTCTTTTTTCGTTAATCCTCATCTGAGGATATTTTTCCATTGATATTTAGAGAGAGTGGAAAGGAGGGAAAGAGGGAGGGGAGAGAGAGAGAGAGAGAGAGAGAGAGAGAGAGAGAGAGAGAGAGGAACATCGACGTGAGAGAGAGACAATTGATTGGTTGCCTTTTGTATGCATCCCAACCTGGGCCAGGGATTGAACCTGCAACCCAGGTACATGTCCTTGACCAGGAATTGAACCTGGGACCCTTTGTTTCATGGACTAACACTCTAACCACTGACCAACACTGGCCAGGGCTAAAGTGAGTCTCTTGTAGACAGCATATGTAAGGGTCTTGTTTTGTTATCCATTCATCCACCTAACTCTGAGTTACACTGATGGTCATCTTGTCTCATTGCAGCCTTGTCCCTATCATCAATGATTACCTCTTTCAGTGATTCTCTAAGCAGCAGTGAGTGTCAAAATGTCCTTTTGTTGTAGTTTATTAGAGTTTATATTATAAACTGCAGTTGCTTGGAGATTCTGGAGTTTCCTTCTGAGCCCCAGAGACGACCCTGAAAAAGACTGTTCACAGTTGGGTATACTCATTTACCTCTTTTACTTTTTTAGAGAGGTGAGGATTACCAAGCAGTGATATCTCCATCTTCATCTCCGGAACTGCTCAAAAAGAGATCAGCTTTGGACGATCTCACCAATGTGAGTATGCTAATCCAATCCTCTGCTGTGATGTTGCATAACGTTTAGACAACCTCTTCCTTGAAGGACCTTTCCAGTTGACCAGACTATGACCCTTTCTGGAATGTAGAGATTTGATTTTATTTGGAGTCAGTGACCCAATTTCAGAAACTGGAGGGGCTCCTCTGCTGGCACATGCATCTGAATTAATTGGTGGAGTTCTCTTGATAGAATGATTATTATATATGAAATTGTAGATAAATATGAGAACTATGGGATTGTACATTTATATAAAGTCCAGAAGTTGGTCAACAGATTGCCTATGCCTTGGAGGTAAGTACTTTGATGCATTCATTGTAGTCTAGGGCAATGTTTATCAACTCAAGCACTATGGGCAATTGGGGCAGGACATTTTTGTTGTTGTTGTGTAGGAATGACCTCAGGCAACATCCCTGGACCCCAGGATTTAAGTTCCAGTAGCAGCCCAGTCATAGTGATAATAAAAAATGCTCCCTGTGGGCACCACAGCTCCATGATCTGGTCTTCAACTATGGAGCTCTTGGAACTCAATTTTGACTAGAATTCTTAAGTTCACTTCCAAGTTACTCCCTTCTGGTATTATGTAAGTACCAGCAAAACTCAGAATTAATGGAATGTTACTAATTGAATATAGAATTGGGCTAAAAGTAATCTTTGGTCTTAGATAATAGTAACTGATGCCTACTGAGTGCTTACCATCTGCCAGACACTATTCTAAGCACTTTTTGCATATCAACTTGATCCTCATATAAGCCTTTGAGGTAGATGCTATCATTATCTCCACTTTACAAATGAGGACTTGTCCAATGTTTATTTTGAAGTCTGTTTCAGCTGTGATACAGAGAACCTGATGAACTGTTCTTGCCATCTATAATAAAGTGCTCTTCTGTGGCTACCTGAATACTTGTCTCTACTAGATAATATTTACCCTCTTGGCTAGGATTGGGTAAACACTGATAAAGTTCTCCCCTTTGGATCTCTGCTCTTTAGATGCTATGTGACCACCTTTGTGCTAATACAGTCTCTTCCCCATAGAGATTACAACATATATGATTAAAGTTATAGCTTTCTGCCTAATTTCAGATTTACTATAGAAAGGTTTAAAGAGACCCCTTCCATACAGACCTGTGGGGTTAGGTTTATTTCCTGACTTATTTAACCACTAGTGGTCCAGTGCACGAAATTCATGCACATTAAAAGGGGATTAATTAGAGGAAATATTTTAACTTTGCTATTTGCCCTTTCTCTATAATAGAAGTGTCAGAGATGAAAGAAAATTAGTAAAATGTATATGAAAATCTTCCTCCTGTCAGAATCTGGGGCACACCACAGGACCCAGAGTCAAGTCCCCGCCCATCCATGTGTGCCTCAAAATCGCACGAGACCCAGACCCGGCTGTGCCCCCCCCCATTGGGCTAGATCCAAACCAGGCCAGTCCCACCCTTGTCAAGCCCCACTTGGGCGGGGGGGTGCAGCCTCAGGGCCCCTGGCCTGGCACTGGGGTGGAGGGTGCAGCCTGAGGTCCTCCAGCCCAGGCCAGGGACTTGCCTTGAGGTCTCCCGTCAAGCCCTGCTGGGTGGGGGATGCAGTCTGAGATCCCCTATCAAGCCCCGCCGGGTGGGGTGCATGGCCTGAGGTCCCCCGTCAAGCCCTGCCAGGTGGGGGGCATGACCTGAGGTCCCCCGGCCTGGCACCAGGGCAGGGGGCATGGCCTGAGGTGCCCTGTCAAGCCCTGCTGGGTGGGGGCGTGGCCTGAGGTCCCCCATCAAGCCCTGCTGGGTGGGGGGTACAGCCTGAGGTCCCCAGCCTGGCACTGGGGTGGGGAGCATGGCCTGAGGTACCCCGTCAAGCTCTGTCGGGTGGGGGTGTGTGGCCTAAGGTCCCCTGTCAAGCCCTGCCAGGTGGGGGGTACAGCCTGAGGTCCCCCAGCCTGGCACCAGGGTGGGGGGCATGGCCTGAGGTCCCCTGTCAAGCCCTGCTGGGTGGGGGGCATAGCTTGAGGTCCCCTGGCCTGGTGCCAGGGTGGGGTGTGTGGCCTGAGGTCCCCTGTCAAGCCCCACAGGGGAAGGAGGGGAGCGCAGCCACAGGTCCCTGCTGATTGCTCGTTAAGGCTCGTTACGGGAATTCGGCCTTTGCTGTGGGTGCAGCCATCTTGTGTATGGAAACCCCGCCTCCGCTGTGGGTGCCGCCATCTTTGTGGCAGAGTGACAGCCAATTTGCATATTCCCTCTTTAGTGTATAGGATGGATCTAGAAACTTGGCTGAACTAAGCCACACACACGAGGAGCAGGTGCAGCTCATCTTGGTGAAGATTCCCTTGGCCTACAGAATCTGTTATGGGAGTGTGGTGACAGTGTATGAAAAGCAAGGTCTCAGCATGTGAGAAACTTGTTTGCCATGTCTCAGTCCTATCTCATTAAGTTTATACAGAAACTAGAGGCCCGGTGCACAAAATTTGTGCACTGGCGGGGGGGGGTATCCCTCAGCCCCACTTGTGCTCTCTCACAGTCTGGGACCCCTCGGGAGATAACGACCTGCTGGCTTAGGCCCACTCCCGGGTGGCAGAGGGCAGGCCCAATCCCTAGGTGCCTGCCCCGCAGCCCCTGGTCGGGCTCAGAGCAAGGCTGATTGGGGAGTTGGGGCACCGCCCCCTGTCATGCACAGAGCCGGGCAGATCAGGAGGTTGCGATGCCACCCTCAGTCATGCTCAGGGTAGGGCCAATTGGGAGGTTGGGGCGCCGCCCCCTGTCACACTCAAGGCAGGGTCGATGGGGAGGTTGCAGTGCCACCCCCTGTCACACACAGAGCAGGGCCCATGGGGGAGTTGGGGCACCGCACCCTGTCACACACAGAGCAGGGCCGATCAGGGGGCTGGGGAGCTCCCCCCTATCAGGTACAGAGCAGGGCAGATCAGGGGTTTGGGGCGCCTTCCCCTGTCATGAACAGAGCAGGGCAGATAGGGAGGTTGTGGCCCCGCCCCTTCTCACACACAGAGCCGCAGGGCGATCAGGGGGTTTGGGCGCTGCCCCCATCACGCTGCTCCAGGGGCCAGAGGCCTTGCAGCTCCACTGATCCCGGTGCTGGGAGGCATCGCTGCTCCGCTGATCCCAGTGCTGGGAGGCCTTGCGGCTCTGCTTGACACAGGGGCAGTGAGGCCTCGCTGCTCTGCTGATCCCGGTGCCAGGAGGCCTCGCGACTCCGCTGATCCCAGGTTCGGGAGGCCTTGCGGCTCTGCTGATCCCAGTGCTGGGAGGCATATTACCCTTTTACTATATAGGATAGAGGCCTGGTGCACAGGTGGGGGCCAGCTGGTTTGCCTTGAAGGGTGTCCCGGATCAGGGTGGGGGTCCCGCTTGGGTGCCTGGCCAGCCTGGATGAGGGGATGATGGCTGTTCACAGCTAGTCACACCCCCTTCAGGGTGGGGGTCCCCACTGGGGTGCCTGGCCAGACTGGGTGAGGGGCTGAGAGCCATTTTCAGGCTGGCGGGTGACTGAAGCTCCCAACCTCTCCTTTTTTACTTTTTTTTTTTATTCTGGGATTTATTTACCTTCTATGCCTGACACTGGAGCTGAAAGCCGGCTTTAACTCTGAGGCTCGGCTTCAGCTCTGAGACCTCGGTTGCTGAAAGCAGGTTTCTGGGCTTTGTTTACCTTCTGTATTTGAAACTTTGTTACGACTCTAGCTCTGAGATCCTGGCTGACTGAAAGCAGGTTTCTGGGGATTGTTTACCTTCTATATTTGCAACAGTGTTTCTTAGAGAGCAGCTCAGAGCCCAGCAGCGGCAGGCGGGGAACATTGGCTTCCTCTGTCACTGGAGCAAGCAAGCCTCCTGTTCGCTTCAGGGGCCTGGCTGCTGGCCGCCATCTTGGTTGGCAGTTAATTTGCATATCTCACTGATTAGTCAATGGGAAGGGTAGCGAAGTTATGGTTAATTACCATGTTTCTCTATTATTAGATAGGATAGCTATCTACACTAATAAAAGAGAAACATGAAATTAACCATCACTCCACCACTTTGCTGCACCCACAAGCCATGCCCAGCAGTCAATCAGGAGCGAGTATGCAAATTAACCCAACTAAGATGGCAGTGGCCACGGAGCTGGAGCGAGCAGGAGGCTTGGGTTGCCCCTTGGCTATGGAGGAAGCCAAGCTTCCCGCTTGCCCTGGCCGGCCCTGGGCTCTGCTCAAAGCTACAAAGTTTCAATTATAGAAGATAAATAAATCCCAGATACCTGCTTCCAGCCAGCCTCCACTGGGAGCTTGGGAGGCTGGAGGCCGTGCCCAGCCTGCAAACAGCCCACAGCCCTTCACCAAGGCTGGCCAGGCACCCCAGTGGGACCCCTCATGCTGAAGGGAGTGTGGTCAGCCTGAACACGGCCCTCAGCCCCTCACCCAGGCTGTCCAGGCATCCCAGTGGGGGCCCCCACCCTGAAGGGGGTGTGGCTAGCCTGCAAACAGCCATCAGCCCCTCACCAAGGCTGGCCAGGAACCCCAGCAGGACCCCAGGCCTGAAGCCTGGTCCAGAGGCGTCAGGCCTGGGAAGGGGGCTGAGCCGGCAATTGGAGGAGTCTGGGGGGTCCCCTGCCCAGGCCTGACACCTCTGGTGGAGGCGTCAAGCCTGGGAAAGGGGCTCATTTGGCGATCGGAGGGTGATGGGGGTCATCACCTCTGGCTGAGGCGTCAGGCCTGGGCGAGGGCAGAGCCGGTGATGGGGGGGAAGATGGGGGTCCCCTGCCCAGGCCTGATGCCTGGGCCAGAGGCATCAGGCCTGGGCGGGGGACAGAGCCGGTGATCGGGGGGAGGTGGGGGTCCCCTGCCCAGGCCTGACGCCTCTGTCAGAGGCATCAGGCCTGGGCAAGGGGGCAATCCAGCGATTGGAGGGTGATGGGGGTTGACGCCTCTAGCCGAGGCATCAATCCTGGGTGAGGGGCTGATCTAGTGATCGGAGGGAGATGGGGGTCCCCTGCCCAGGCCTGACATC